AGATTAATCACTTGCTCATCCTGTCCATTATCAGAGACCGTCTGGAAATTGAACTAGCCATCTCGAAAATGAATCATTAGTGACTGAGCATCAGTTTGCGAGGTTTACCACCATAACAATCAGTTTATAAGCCAGTTGCACAATAAAACAGTAGGCAACAAGCAAGATGTTCGGAAACTTCGTGCGAACCCACATGGCGTGCACCATTAAAGGGGGTAATCAGATGAAACGTCGGTATGATACGTTACCTGGTTTAACATTTGCCGGTTCTTATTATTCCACTGGGAGCTATTGCCTCTGTCCGCCCCACGTGCACCACTAAAGGGAGTAATCAGATGAAACGTCCGTATGATACATTACCTGGTTTACTATTTGCCGGTTCTTAATATTCCACTGGGAGCTATTGCATCTGTCCGCCCCCCGACACCATCTGAAGAATGATTTCAAGCAATTCAGAATGCTATAGGTCACGAAGATGTGATATCGTCTTCTTTCAGGATAATTCACCTAAAGGTTGAACATTCAAAATGAGATTAATCACTTGCTCATCCTGTCCATTATCAGAGACCGTCTGAAAATTGAACTAACCATCTCGAAAATGAATCATTAGTGACTGAGCATCAGTTTGCGAGGTTTACCACCATAACAATCAGTTTATAAGCCAGTTGCACAATAAAACAGTAGGCATTTCGACTGACTGTTAAAAACCGTTCCACTCACTCAGGAACTTTGAGCGACAGAAGAATGTTTCTCTTCTAAACGTTTCAGCATCAGTTATCTTGCTGAAATCCCACGTTGCAAATATCCCTCCTTAACCGGACAACAGGAACAACACACTGAACACTATCCATTTTATCATTTGTTCATACATGGTGCTCTTACTTTTAAGAATCATCTACCAGTCAGATATTACATTTTCTTTTAACTTCCAGTTGGTGGTGTATCATGTTTTACCACTGAAAATCTTTATATCCAAAAATCCTTATTCACTGGGATCCAATCAATGCAATGCGAGAAATTCGCATGACCACTTGATTTACCTTAGAACTGTTGACTGAGCCTGAGCCCACATGAAATAAATGGCACATAGCAATTGCTGGTTGCTGACCGTGGAGCGGGTGCCCGCCCCGATTTCAAGAACAGGGGGTATAGCAATTGTTGGTTGCTGACCGTGGAGCGTCTTTATGGAAGGCTGAACACCAGATATTTGCTGAATTTGCAGGTGCCCGCCCCGATTTCAAGAACAGGGGGTTTTCGGCAATTAAAACCATCGAAGAATTCGGCTTTCATTTCAGCTTCTACTCATATTCTCGCCTTTAGTGTTTTCTTTCAAGACATCAGAATGAAGACTCAACTTGAAAAAAGGAACTCGGATGATTTCTCATCAACGTGAGCATATACGGCTAGACAAGCGACCAATAATTTGGGTTCAACTTTATTGACGGAGTGAAGCGATTTGAGCAAATCAGTCAAAATTTCTTAACTTGTTACTGTGCGACAGGCTGACAAACCGATTAATATAGCAGTAAGTTCCTTCTCTTCTTTTTGATTGTTGAGACAGGCAGTAAAATTTTAAAAGCTCTCTGATGAGGAACAGAATGCGCGGGAGATTAAGCTCAATTTGGATGTCCAACTGTTAACTCGAAGCTCTCCAGCGCGGTTGATATCGCATCTTGGTGACGTTGTGGGACATCGAGTGACGCGATATCATTCGACAAACGGTTTTGGAGGGTGAGGGTAGGGTGTGAGAGTTTTTGATGGAGGAATAAGAGACAACAAATGGTAAATCAGGTTGTATCATACCGACTATTTATCTTATCATCTCATCAATTTGTTTACGTCGTAGTTGTATATGCGAGCACCCATTGAGATTCGTGGTCACTGCGGTTTGTCGTATTTGTTGCCAAATCGGAAACCTAATGCGAAATTTTTTAATGTAATCTCTCCAATGCTTCTGTGTCATTGGAGGAATATTTCGAACCCCGTGTGGTCAGGCCAAACTCACTTCTAAACCCATTCAGTAATCGATTGTTTGACGTTTTACATCAAATAATGCCTCGTTCTTCTTCCACTCTCTCCCATCATCAAAGGACTAATGAGTCGGCAGTCGTGTCTTAGCATAATGGAAGTTTTGACCACACGTCGGGCCATTTCACGGGTTCCGTGCTGCAGGTGATTGACTCCGGTACTTCCAGGTTGACCTCTGTGTCGGTTTGTTTGCTCAGATCAGGATTACGAAACCAGCCAATTGGTTGAAAGTTGCATTTCTCATACCAAGGCCCACTCGTTGCGGTAGCCACAACGGAAAATCAGTGAGGAGTCTTTTGTTGCATACTGTGAACTGCTCGAGGGTGGAGCATGCCTCCAGGCCGTCTTACTTGTTCTGTTCTGTGCCATAATGAGCTGGTCGGCTGACCTAGCTTTTTCAAACCAAGCTTGACATTAATGAGATGGCAAATTGGGAATAAGGAAGCAGCGGCCATTCATGCTGACATGCAATTCATCATCCGCAGTACCGCATTGGATGAATAGCGGCTCCTGCCCCCAAATCAAATGACGTAGTGTTACGATCTCCACACCCTCAGACAACGAGTTGGCAGCCTCTGGTCTGTGCCCTGATTCTGGGAAGTCTGGCTAGTGAGTCGACTAGCTGACACGACCGAAGCGTGGTGTCTAGCGCTCGTAAGGCATGTTCACCAGCTGAGGCGTTCTTGTCGTTGAGACATTAATTTATTGTGTGAACTTCGTAGTTCAATGTTTAGCTACTACCTTGGAAGAAATGCACAGGTTAGCTCATTCCCTTGTGACCAATCAATATTTGATGGCTTTATGGGATCGCGCACGGCTGAGTTCGTTCCGACTGAGCAAACCCTGTTTTGGATTTTAATGAGACGTTTTTTTTACATAGTATCATCTTGATCATCTTAAGAATGTTTTTGCAATGTTAACTTACCCGAAGTTGATAATTATCGACTAATGTGTGGCCTGTTTGATAAATGGTAAAACATTATTGTATATAGGTTTTTCAGCAGCATCTTAGCCTCAGCTGAACTATGGGACTGATGTGAACTGTCTGGCGTTGCCATTCCAGTACACCGATTGCGAGAGGGGCGTTGTGCGTGAATCTTCATTTCTTTCACCAGGACTCGTTCAAAAAGCAAGAAGTAAAAACGGGTGTAGGTATCTTCAGCAGCGTACCATACCTGGGAAGTTTAGCTCACCTACAGACGTTGGTCAGCAGTTGGTTGCGAGAACGATTACGTAGTTTAGTACATTTATAAAACAGACTAACTACGTTTGTACGAACCACTCAATGGTCATTCTGGACCAGATGTTCAACAGTCAAAATACGGATGGCCTTCACTGTTTAATCCAGATCAGCAAGTAAACCGATTTGATTTAAAGTGGATTTGTGTTTCGCCAGATTTGGTTAACAAGTTGGGGGCAGTGCTCATCATATCATTGGGTGTTTTTGGTTAACTTATTTGATTTGAACGCACGGTTTAGAGTGGATTTGTGTTTCGCCAGATGTGGTTATCAGCTTGATCACCTTTAAAGGGTAAACAAGTTGGGGGCAGTGCGCATCATATCATTGGGTGTTTTTGGTTAACTGCAACAGCTGATGAGCTTCTCTTGGGAGTCGTTGGCGATCAGTGTCTATCTCAGAGAGACTTCATCCTCACCTAGGTGCATACGGCTGCCGCTCAGTGATACAGTGTTCTCACCAAGCCCCGCATACACGCAGCGGACGAGAAACCATTAAAGTGCATATATTGACCACTGAAGCTCAACCGGAGGCCGTTTGCTAAGTTCTCATTCGAGGGATGACTCCCATTCCATTTACCTCAAAATATTGCAGACCCGAGTGGTTATGATTCGGAGCGTCAGGAAAGTACATTTAAATTAAGGTCACAAGTAACAGTCAAGGTGCCATTACTGTAACGTTTGCAAGGGATATTATCACAGAGTTATTCCTCAAGGATTGTCCGAAACATATCCGTCGAATTCTGACGTAATATATGACCCTCGAAAACCATCGGATTGTCTGTGACCAATTCCCTTAGAATTGAAACGGACAGTTTGTTCAGAAAAGAGTATAGAGCCGGCTGGTGAGTAAACTGACCAATTCAATTTGATGTCGTACACAGTAATATGTTCACAAAGATAATCATGGAATAAAGGACCAAAGATAATAGAAGGAAATTTCTGGGAGCTTACTAGTAAACAGGTAAGGGTCTGGCAAAGCTCAAATGATCTTCAGTTGATAGTTCACTATTTAGGTGCAGCCATTCCATACTGAAAAACCAACAAACACTGTAAAGTTGTTGCATCTTTATTGGGAATCATCGGCATTGCGCATTTCAAGAAACTCCAGTAGAAAGTTTTGAAACTTTCAACTGATGGCTGAACTTCGCATTATTTAAATCGGTCTCAGTGATACACTTGGCTTACGGATTTTAGTTCATCGATTATCAGTTGGTTTCAAATCGGTTGAGGCGGTTTAGCTGTGATCTGTAGTAAACTGAGTGATTTTTTAAAACGTCTGAGGGCTATCTTTTAACCGCTTCCCCTAGCAAAATGTTTTTTACATGAGTCTATTGTCTTCAATTTTCTTTCATCTGCACGAATCCCTTCATTTCTAGTATCCAGTCATTCTTATGAAATTTGACAGACTTTTCAAAAGGAATAAAAAACCGCAAACGCAATTTAAATTAGATATATGGGACCAAGTAAAGGAACTCTGTCGCACTAACAACCAAAAGCTAGGTTGACTCAAAGAAAAATGGGTGCATATGTCGGATGAGTTTCTGCCTGCTGCTAGGCGACAGCGTTTGTGTCTATTGGCCGAACCATGTCAAGTTATCAAACAACTGGATACCCTGTAAATAACTCGATGTTTTGCAACCAGACGAAGATATCTATTCTTTCCCGTCATTGTACACACATTTGTCATTCTCTGAAAGACTGTGAAAAAATTGAGCAACGAACATCGTACTCACTAACTGAGAATAGTAGTAGAATCTGAGGCCAATGTTACCTTGCGCCGACCGTTTGACCACGATGCGCTAAGCATTCCCATCGTTTTCGACGTTGTTAACGACAAGTGAACAGGATTTAATTCTCCAGGCTTTTTACAGAAGCTGCAGAAGTTACTCGTCTGTCCAGCAGGGTGAATGGTTTGCGGGAACACTTTGTGCGGTCGGATCGTCTGTGCGTGCTGCAAATGGCTGTCAGATAAAATGAATAGTGATTGAACCCCAGAGCATGGGCTTTGAGTGGTGCGATGCTAATAGCCGTCGATCCCGAAGACGCTCTGCAAAGTCGGTCGTGACAACTAAGCACGTATAAATTGGGATTCACGTCGTATTATTGACGGCCAATGTAAAGAGGTCAACGTTAAAGTGAAGATACTTGGAAAGAGGGAGTAGTGTACTTCAAACAGAAAGTACATACACACAACTTTTGGACCATTCGCACCATAAGTATCGTATCTCGTTTCAGAGAGGTCTGTTGGATCGCTTTTAAACAAGCATGCCCATTGTCAGAAACGAGACGCTTTTCAGCAACTGTCCAGCTTGTTTTCTAGGCGTGTAGCATACCGACATGCTTGGTCGATCATGGCCCACCGAAAAACATCGAACATGTCTTGAATCGTTTTTCACTCAAGTTGTTGTAATCGAAAACTTATTCCACCTGGCGCCTTTGTTCAGTGTTTTAAAAAAAGTGAATTACGAGGATTATCCACTTACATGACATTTGGATTTTTTATGAAGAGCTTTAATCATATGACTCTACTTTGCTAACCGTATACTGTAGCCCCTCTAAAGTTCTTTTATTCATCTAAATGTCACGTAGAAAGGCTCACAATTGAAACATTAAAAAAAATTGTTTGTTGAATTAAGCCGAAATTCCGGCTCGGAAGTAAACGGTCTGAAAAACAGTATGGAAAATACTAGGGATCTATAAATTTTATCCTTATATTCATGCAATAAATTGTTAAAAAATGCGTTCCACCTGGATTGCAGTTCAGTAGAGTGTGGCTAGTGCACTGTAGTCTGAAGATTCCCTAGAAATGAGGTGAAATATGGGCTCAAAGGTTTACAAGCAAGCGGCACGTAACTTATCCGTCGTTAGTAGTGACATTGCTTTCCGACATATCGTCTTACATGCTCCACTCTGAGAAGCCCTTATCACTCAGCACTCTTTGGCAATAGTAGAACGTCTTCCATCTTCTGGCGGCAGTTATTCTTATTAGAGGGAACTTCTCATTATGGAACGGGATGCGATTTCACCTTCTCATTGTTTTTCAACTGCTTTTGTGGTTAGGATTTGTGAATGAGATTGTGCCCAATGTAGGCTGAGATTCAGTCACGCGTCTCTTCTTTATTTTTGTTACATTTTGACATAACAACAGTGTTGCCGGGAGGAATCTCCAACATATATTGGTCTTGGTGCGCATTGCTTCACGGAAGTGGTAGTAATCTTCAACTTTTCATAAACACCGCGTTCAACAAGCCTATCTTTGAGACCAGCTGGCTAATCCTGATCTATTTGAGCTCGCTTCTGGTCAAATTATTGCCACTTTGGACGAGAGTCAGACAGTAAGTGACCCACTTCAACACAGACCCTACACCGATCGGCCATACAAACCATCATCTGTTTGATCCAAGCTGCGACTGCCGCTTAATGATTTTTGTCGGAATGGGGGTGGTCCAAGTCACTTTTCTATTGAATTTCTCGTTAATCTAACATTCGTCTCAGTGATGTAGGTAACAGTCTTAGATTGGAAAATCCATCTAATATGTTGGCAGTGTGGTCCTCTCTGGGACACAAACTCAACTGCAAAACAATTTGTGAGCAGTCAAAAGTTGGGATAGTCTACAATAAACCAAAAAACCCAGGATGAAACCAGGCAGATCTTAGGGGAACACTGGCACCACATCGTCACTACAGAATCTTTACTAGTAGGATTTTTGAAAAAAACGTACCCATTGACTAGAGTGTATCAGGTGTAAATTTAGCCGCAACGGATACGACAAACGCTGAAAAATAACCGAAACTGCCGTGTGAGGGATAATGCAATAAATTTCACTCGGGTTGAGGCTTTAGAATTACTTTTCACTTGTCAGTAAAACAAAACTACTTATTTACGAATCTGCTTACCGATGTAGCTTTGACGGGAGGCTCACCTAGAACTCAGCCTAATCTCTCGTTTATAATGTTCAAGTAGAACATATGGCCGCCGGAAACCTGGGGACTGTGTCCCAAGAAGAGCGAAACCGGCCGTGGTCCGTCAAACAGTTTTCAACAACCTTCTATATTATGTCTATGCAACTGAATATCATGTTTCCTACCGGGTTTCATAGATGTTTCGCAGCAAAAGTGAATACTGATCATGCGTTGAATACTTTTTCTGAGGAAAATTATTTCGGTGTGTTCAGCTGAGCCCTTAACGCTTCACAATAGGTTGAAGCAGTTTAATTCGAACTTCGACCAAATCTCCTGTTCATCAAAATTCCCCTGAAAATAAGCATTCCATTGGACATCAGTGGCATTACCGGAGTTGATCAGTTCACCAACTACAATGATATAGAGACCGGACAACAGAGCACCAATTCAGCATGCGGCTGATGTGGGGGTTGAGTCCTCCTCTCTCATGAACACACGTGGCGCTGGGAAGTGAATGTTTAAGCAAAGTGACCAGGTCAGACTCAGCTCACATGTGCAGCTGATCACGTTTCTGATATCCGAATACCCATCTTTAAACGCATACAAGTACCACATGTGAAATTTACTTTCAGCTGGCCGATGTGAAATTTCCACCCGGTCTACACAACCAGCGGGGTGGATCTTGACAACTACACACATCTCCGAATGTAGATTTTGCACCAGCAAAGTACTGAAACCAGCTCACTCGCTGAACAGGATATCTCGTTCTGTCAACTAATTATGTCAATCGCCGTAATGAAGGCCTTTTGAACCCCTTTGATGTTATTCCTCATCAAGAACCAACAGGATTTGTTTAGTTGTACAACTTCAACCGAATATGCTACGGAAGTGAACCCGGCTTAGACAACTGTTCTGGGTGATCACTTTCTTCAAGACGATATGCAGGGATAAATTAACTTTTCCTCACGAACAGCACATTTTCGCCTTATTCTGTTCATCCCGAACAGTTTCGCCTAGGCAGTTGGGTAAGGTCGTGTCTCAGATAGTCGCAGTGGATAGGTGACTCCCGTAGAATACGATCAAGAGGGGTTCTACACTGAAATATAGCTGCGCTTTGGACATTTTTCGTCGCCCTTTGGGAGGTTGTGCGAGACTGGAAATAAATTCAACCAGGAATTTGAAAAAAATCGTCGTCAGCCCATCCTAACGCGATACTGACTCATTAATATTTAATCCATTTACAGCACTGTGCGTAAAAGAAGTCAACTGAACCTCAGTTCAAGTTGACGTGAAAAGGAGAATTTGGGAAACATCATGACGGTGATACCCATTAGGCGGCAAATAAAAAGGATAGTAAGCACTCAGTAAGGACTGCTGAATGTACACGACATTTGAGAGTAGCTCTTCAAAAGGGAAGAAGTTTAAGTTTAGTATTTGCGCAAGTAAAGGGAAGTTTCCTGGATGAAAGAACTAGACCACAAACCGTGCAATTTTAATACCAAGAACACTGCGGTTGTCATGGTCGAGTGACCTCAAATTGTCAAGTTCTCCGCTACCGATAGAAAGTATATGGTTTTCGTGTACCTGAAAAGAACGCACTAACGTCCACACAGAACAGCCGGCCGAGGAACTGCATGTCTGATTTAATAAATAAACAAGCTACCTAGAAATGCCTGGATGCAAGCACTACACTCCTCACACGGATTCTCCTATTGGTGTGGTGAGCCAGAAGTTTCAGACCCTAAACCCGGCGTAAATTCATGAGAGCTTTGCTTTCAGCTCATTGGTCTTTGCGCTACTATTAACATTAACACTAACATAACTAACGTAAGCTCCGGAGCCGCACTTGACATTGGTACAACCTGCTAATGAAACGACATATGAATGCATCATTCTCCTTTTGGTGTAGTAATAAATAATAATAATCANACACTCTTTCAGTGCGTAGCTGCCGCGTCCACTGAAGGAAGCACGAAGGCTGAGATACCGCCAAGTTGTTTAAGCCTAGATAACGGCAGTCGAATGTCGGGGTCAGCTTGGAACCGCAGTGATCCCGGTTAGTATTCTTGCAGCTTGGCCTCTGAACCATCTTAAGCTGTCCAACTGTTTTATAACTACATACATCGTGTAACCTAGTCACTTGGCTTGAAGAATCTTTCAGTACAAAGCCAAACTTTCCTCAGCTCTAATTATATTGATTTTTTTTCCACACTCTCCTCAGACTGACGAAAGGACCTTCTGTCGTAGTAAGTAAGCGCTCATTCATCGAAATTGCTGCCAAAACAACAAGCAATGCAGCTTTCCATATTTCCAAAATTACTGTGTAATGAGAGTAATCAGGTGAGATTTTTGAAGAAATGCGTCAACACCTACAGACTCCATATTCAGTGGTGTTTACCCGGTACTAATGGACCTTATGATACAATTATAGTAATTCAGAAGTCGTAGACTCACGGGCACACATCCAAGTAGGAGAACATGTCTACATAAAGCAATCGATGTTCAGTGGTGTTTACCCGGTACTAATGTACCTTATGATACAATTACTAGTAATTCAGAAGTCTTAGACTCACGGGCACACATCCAAGCAGGAGAACATGTCTACATAAAGCAATCGATGAGGTGGGAGATGTCATTGCTGCGATACATGATTCTTATAAACTGTCCTGAAGGGTCGATCAGGATATTATGGGCTTGCTCCTTTTAGTTTATTCTCTATTCCCTATTCGCTTAGTGCGATATATCTGTAGGCCAATATGCGTCTTAATGCTACTAACAGATTTACTCTGACGTCTGGAATTCCAGTTTAAATTCTGGTTTCCAGATCGTGCTTTGGTTCAAAGCTGAGTTTCTGTTTTCGTGACAAAGATACCACTCACTAGGTTGCTGAAAAATCACTCACGACCCACTACTGGTTTCACCTTTCTTGGTGCTCATCTGATAGGCATAGACTAGGCATAGTCCCATCAACCTTGTTTTAATTGCACACCAACTGGTGTTCAATTGGCGAACTATGCTCATTTATGAACTGCATTGATGTTAACGAGGAACTCAACTGAATTCCTTGTTTGTTCTATCATCAACTGATTATGCTACACACGGGTCGCCTCATGTTTCAGATGGCACACTATTCAAGATATCATACCCTCACGGTCCTAAAATCCAAACAACGTTTGATGGCAACCAAATGAAATTTCGTCAGGGGTTGGGGGTTGTCAGCTTAAGAGAGAGTACTGTTTAACGGTACTAGCAACAAACTGACTTTTCTTTATTCCGAGTTTCAAGTTTCCCTCTTAAACAGCCGAAATAATAGAGTGTACCAGAGCAGATTCGTACGGATTTCGTGAAATGAATCTGTCCTATTCATCCTGATTGATCACACGAAATTTAGAAAATACTGGACAGGAAGGTCACCAGTCCTCGTTGAGTTCGTTGGGATTTCTCTTGGGTTAGGCCACCAGTCCGAACGCAGCTGACAGTGGACTGTGTGAGCTTACTGCCTCGGCATACCGACCGATACTCCGATCCGCACGCGTTGACGGCCCAATAAAGGGTGTGTGAACGCCATGCTGCTACAGCCAATCACCATGCAGCTCACCAGCCATTGGCCGACTAGGTGCGCCAATTTGCTGGAGGTCACATGACTAGGCACATCGGCCCCGTCGATCGTGCTGAGACCCACATTCTATCTTCCCCAGGTCACCTAAACCGCGGACTTGAAGGTGACGGAATTTTGAGTGCTCTGGTGACTGGGACATTCCATCGAAATTCCATCCACGCAAATACGACTGGACATAACGGGCAGATAAACTCTATTGGTGAGTATGCAGTTCCGGCAGCAACCAACCGTCTACTGTGATTTGTTTTCACTATTTCCCGTTATTTTTCTCTAACTGTTGCGAAGTCATTTGTGATGGCACCATACCGCACGGTAAAAAAAACGATTAAACGTTGGGATGTGGTGATGAGTAGAAAGTATATATTTTCACCCGATTGCTTCCACAAGCAGTTTCTTTTATCCGGGTCATGATAGAGATTGCAGGCAGAACGGCCATCCGGTAACAGGTTGCCCAAGATGTACTGTGACGTAGCTGACGGTCGTCGGCTGCAACCTTCAGGGAAACGCGTAGTGTGTAACGGGGGATACCGATATCTTTTAAATAGGATGCGATTTGAGTGCCTGCCGATGAGTAAGGTCATATGTACGCCCAACGCAGTGCGCGCTGGTCTCGTTTGCTTGTTTGTCTAACCACCTTTCGCATGTGAATGTTGTGTGTGCTGAAGTACTATGTGGGAACGCACATTCAGAACTTATGACTGGTATAGGGTGAGCCGTTTCCCGAATGGATAAAACAACTTGCAACATTTCTTTTTGCCCTTAGAACCGCAGTATTAATCCAACTTAAGGAAATACTGGAAGACGAGCACCCCCATGAATACCTTCCGGTTTTGCATGTTTTGAGTACATACCTATAGCTTATTGGGGCGTTATGTCCTCCATGTCTTGTCCTCCTTCACCTAACACCATCCGGTATTGAATATGCGAGCACTGCATATGCTCCATTCTAGCCACACATTCAGTATCATGCATTGTCGGATGACTACAACAACAGATGAACGAGAGCTAGGCCGATCTATTTCTCTGAATTTTCTTCCCCTGTTAACTTGGACAGCTTAAGAAAACAGTGACAGTTCCTTTTTGTCAAGTGGAATGAGCACTAAGCGCGAGTTGTCGTTGTTTGGACACCGTCATAATCTCAGGTGATTGTTCTTCGCTTGCGCTAACCTCTTTCTAATCTCTGTAAAAATATTTCTGTGACATCAAGGATTCGAGCCTCTACCTTTATATAGTTTGCTGCTTAAAATACGCACGGTACTTCTGCTGCCGATACATGGTCCCACTTGCTAGTGTTTTTTTATGTAATCAGTTAACCGTTCCTTCCATATGTTCCACTTCTTTCTTTCGAAATCTTATTTGAAAATAAAATGGGTGTTATTTAAGTTGAGATGGCTACATATCCATTCGGCTTTGGAGGTGTAGCTCTCCATAACGTTGAGCTTTAATGGATATTGCTTCTGGGTTTTGTACACCGAAGTGTGAATTTTTACATGGTGGCTAGATCATACTTGTCCAGTGTTCAGCGCCTGTTTTCACGCCATTTGGGAACGCGCCTCAGTGCCATTCTTGAGGGGGCGTATGAATGTTTCCCACTCAGTCTTCATATCCAGAATTTTTCCGGGTGCCGGCTTTCCTGGCTTTGAGGCGATATACAAAAGAAGCCATCTTTATGTCCAGTCAGCAACTAGGAGTACTGGACTTCAGGTGAGAGTAGTGATCTGTGGGCTCTGTCCAGTCATCCCCCGAAGAGAACGCATGGGAATATGTTATTAGCCACACTTGCTGTGGATGTTCTCTCCTCAGAGGTGTGCACATTGGATCGTATGAGTATGCAAAACCCGGTTGTGACCCCTTTTGGAGAGTTGTGGTGGTTTCCCTAAGATAAAAAATCGTCCAGTTGTAACACTCAGTGCCTATCTTTCATGCCACCCGAAAAAACACCGTAGCTAGGCACCGAAAGAGTGTTACAATAGAACGATTTCGATTTCGCTCTAACCACAGCCATCTCACTTCCTGAACCAACTCTCCCCCAAGGGAAGGTCAGGCTGTCTATGCCGTGGTACCACTATTACCCCAATGCACTGCACTCCCGTCCGAAGGGAACGAACCCTTTGTCTCGGGAAAATCGTGCCCTTCTTGTAAGGACATTTGCTCCGCACAGCTCAAATAGAAGTGGATGAAGAAGACAAATCAGGTTTCACTTACTTCATTCGGGATAAAAGACTGTATTAATTGCTGTAGATTGTTTCAGCTGCCGGTCCGTGGTCGATACTCGTGTTGTTTAGGGTTTATCACGAGAGGGATGTTTGGCGACTGAATAAATTCGAAACGCCAAATTTAAGTGACATGATCTACAACGTGGTCGAATGTTACTTCTGCCAGGGACACGCAGTTTTTATCTTCCTAGTCTTTTTAGTTCCAGAAAGTCCCTAGTTCGGTTGCTGAAGTACAGCCTGCCTACTTCTGATTATGACGTGTGCCTACTGCTTCCGAGACGTCCTGTTGTAGACCCGGCTGTTTGTCTTTTGTTTCTTTTTTTACAAGCACCACAAGCTTGTAACAATAGGTACTGACCCATCCTGGTTTGTATGAACCAGGGAGGTCGCCCAGCGGGCGTCGAAATTGAGGATAAAAGTGTCCTAGTTTGTGTTGCATGGGGGTCACCGAGCAAGCGAGGAAGATGAACCGTCACGTTGCTAACTGGAACAGAAGTGTAATACTATCGTGCACTGCTTTCGGAAATACTGGCACGACGTCAAATCCTTACGACATGGTAAAATTTACCCATGCTCACTGGAATCACTTGAAGTGCTACCGTGTATGCATTTAGCGGTGATCATCGAATTGCAGGACATCCAAGAGGTAAACCACAATGACGAATTGCATTCGTCCACTGGTTCTGAGTAGAGAGGCATCTTGCTCGGATTTCCAAAAGCTCATCGCAGAAGATTCAGCTTAGAAACATCAGAGTACTGTCTAAAAATGTGTCATGTACACCATGTTTCACGCCAGAAGCTTAGCTGCTTCCTTTTTACCCCTTAAGTCGCATTTCAGCATTCCTTAGAGGCAATTGCGTGGCAAACCTCATACTTGTGTTCGGGCTGTCGGTCGTCAAGGTGATAGCACTGTCGTATTTAATCGATTGAGTAATGCACATTTGTCTACCACACCTAGACCATATATCGATTGTTTTGTCGGCCTGAATGATTTCTAACTTCATCTATTGATTGCCTATGCGTAACAGATTTCAACCTCAATATCCTGAACATTATTCCTCAGTCTTTCGCACATACATGTGGTTTGTATAGATCATGAGTATGCTTCTGGGGAAACCTACATGCTAGTGAGTCGGCAGTTTTTCGATGATTTACATTCTTTTCTGTCACCTTAGAGATATTTTCCCGTGACATTGAATGCCAGCTTGACCGTCAATCACTTAAGTTGCTTTCTAGAGTGGTGACGGAGATTAGCGCTTGGTAGTATGGCTTCCGATCAAGCACGTTTTTAGGCATTCATTGGACATATGACTCCGATGTGGGTCATGTCGTTGCCATGTGGTCAGTTTCTGATCTGTTTTGTTTGTAGTTTTTTTCAGATCGTACTCATTTACGACCGAGAATAGTAGACTTCGCTAGTGCTCAGGATTAAAGGGAGCATTAGAATTGATGTGTATTCCAAATTCAGGAGTTCACTAAGATGATTCTGAGGTGTCTAGCTGCGTTAGTACCATTTGCGGTTCCTTTAACTTATGAGCGCCTCTACGTTCCAGTCACCGAGAATTTGGTAATCATTTGCGCATTAGTCCGGTTGGCGGGAATCAGTGAGCGAACATTCTCGTTTGAAGCTGTAACTCGTTTACCCCTGAAACAGGCTTTTAGCACTCAACAATTCCCTATAAAAGAATGAAAACCTGAGAATTGATATTCTCACTACGGACAAAAGACCTCCCTCTGCTCCAGATGACTGACGCTGTTTGTCAGCCCTGTGTTTATGGGTTAGCTTTTAGACGAGAACTGTCAATTGTGTTGACAGTCGCAAATCTGGTGTGAGATCCTTGGAAGCTTTAAATTTTCCCTTTTCATTAGTTGTCATTGATGTGTCGTTGGTTCCTGTTGACACTAAACCACCGATCATGTCATGACATAGCTTTTGGGATCGGCCGGTTCTGTCAACGTAAAGACCCGTTTTTATGACATTAACACAATCGCCACAGCAGCCGAAATGTATTGGACAGAGTTGCAGACAGTTTGTGCCATTACGACTGACGATGCGTGCGTGTAAATTGGCACCTGTTTCTTGCTCCTTGAGTTGGCCGTTTTTCTGATATGTTCAGAGCCGTAGACTGTACTACACTTGTACTACAATTTTACACTTGTACTAATCGCCCCAGAGTCATGACCTGGTCCTATGAATGGAATGGAATGATTTTTCAAGCGTTCGTTTGCTTCAGCCTTCAGTGAAGGTTGTCCGCCAACTGTATAATTCCATAGCTTTGACGTCTATTCTAGTTACATCTGGAAAGTCGACTGTCAAATACACCCTGCGTCTTATGGTCGTATCTAGATAAGTCACTAATCGGTAGGTACTGAATAACCTATGCAAAGAGGGTCTTCTCTGTGTAGACTTTTGTTTTCGCAAGTAGAGGCCATGGTTCAGAAATTGATAACACTTTTAGTGGAGCCTTTGAGTCTTTACAAGGTAGCAAGATCGTCCGAAAAGAGACTTCTTTTGGTTGGTCGTTTCAGAAAGTCTTCTAAATGGTACGCAACTAGATTTCGTCGCAGAAATGACTTACCAGAGGACCTCAAAGCCGTGCAGGGCCAGAGGTTCTCAAGCATATCATACACTACGACGTACCACCAGTAATTCTTCATATTTTGTTTTTGGATTCACCAGCACATGGTTTAACATTCATTTTGCAAGTCTTAGGATTATCGATTCCGGATCGGGAGATGCATAATCGGTGTAAATTCAGCTGACTTTGAGGAATATGAACTGCACTCGTCCGAATTTCTGACGAGTTGAATGGATGGGGTCGAACATTCGGTGTTGATCACATACTCGAAAGTACATCATAGAAGAACACCATCATTTTCCCATATCTGTTCGCACGCTGTCACTATGGGCAACCTAGATGTCTGCAAACGCCACTATGCGCAAAAAATCGCCATTGCAGTTAATTTCTATGTAGTTTCGGCA